TACCCTTAAACTAAATGAAGCTCTGGTCCTGCTAACAAAACTTAATAGGATCAAAAATTGTTTCCCAGTAACCTATCTGCACCCAGGACAGAGATCAGGGATATTTATAATTCCTATAAAAATACCCAGTACCCAAAAACATAAAAATTCATAATATCTGACACTCAAATCAAAAGTTATCAGGTATCGGGATGCCTGGGTGGCTCAGTTGGTTAAGCTGCTGCCTTCAGCTCAGGTTATGATTCCAGGGTCCTGGGATCGAGTCCTGCATTGGGCTCCTTGCTCGGCAGGGATCCTGCTTCTCTCTCCACCTCTGCCTGCTTGTATGCTTGCACGTGCTCTCTCTCTCTCTCTCTCTGACATATAAATTTAAAAAAAACAAGTTATCAGATATGAAAAGGAATAGAAAAATATAACCCATTCACTGAGAAATCAGTCAACTGAAATGGACTGAGAAATGACAGAATTAGTAGACAGGGACACTGAAATAGTTACAACGACTATACTTCATATGTTCAGAAGCAAGAGGAAAAACTAAAAATGTTAAACAGAGATATCAACATATAAAAATAAGACCCAATTTGAACTTCTAGAGATGAAACCTACATTGTCTGAAATGGAAAACACAGTGAGTGGGATTAACAATAGATTATACATTTCAGAAGGAAAGATTAGTGACCTTGAAGGCAAAACAATAGAAACCATCCAAAACGAAACACAGAGAAAAATGAATGAAAAAAAAACCTAGGGTATTAGTGAATTGTGGCACTATATCAAGTGATCAAATACACTATAATTGGAATCACCAAAGGAAGAATGAGGGAAACCAAAAAATAATGCCTGGAAAACTTCTAAACTTGATGAAAACAGCCGATAGAGCCAAAAAACAAAACAAAACAAAATTCCAAGCACAAGAAAGATGAAAAAAACTATACCACATCTCATAATCAAATTGCTTTAAAATCAATGATAGAGAAAAACATCTTAAAGGCAGACAAAAAAGAGACACATATAGAAAATGAAAGATAGGGAAAAGACTAAATGTTTTCCCTCAGGAAACAAAACTAGTTTGTCTAATCTTACCACTTCTATGCAACTTGTTAGTGGAGATCCTATTCTGTGCAATAAAGCCAGTAAAAAAATAAAATACATTCACATTGGGAAAGAAAACGTCAGATTCTCTTTACTTACAAGATATAATTATCTATTTTTTTAAAGATTTATTTATTTATTTGACAGAGAGAGAATGGGAGAGAGCACAAGCAGGGGGATCACCAGAGGGAGAGGAAGAAGTAGGTTCTCCACTGAGCAGGAATCTTGATGCAGGGCTCGATCCCAGGATCCTCAGATCATGACCATAGCTGAAGGCAGACGCTTAACCAACTGAGCCACCCAGGTGCCCCCATAATTATCTATGTTAAATATCTAATGGAATCTATCAAAAAGTTACTAGACTAATAAATGAGTTTATCAAGATTGTAGAGTATAAGGTCAATATGCAAAAATCAATAGTATTTCTATATACTATCAAAAAACAATTGGATATTAAAATTTAAGAAGCAATACTATTTATAATAGCATGAAATTATAAAATTATGTAGGGATATATCTGACAAAAGATGTGCACGACATACAGATGGGAAACTACAAAACATCGCTGAGAGAAATTACAGAAGACCTAAGTAAATGGAGAAAAATATTGTGTTAATGGGTTGGAAGACCCAAAACTGTTAGATCAATTCTCCCTAAGTTGATCTATATAATTCAATGCAATGTCATCAAAGCACCAGCAGGTGTTTTTTGTTTTTGTTTTGTTTTTGGTAGACATTGACAAATTGATTCTAAAAATCCTTTGGAAATACAAAGAACCTAGGAGAGACAAAATAAGTCTGAAAAAGAACAAAGTTAAGTAGATAACACTACTTGATTTCAAGATTTGCTATACAGCTATAGTTATCAACTATGTTATATTGGCATAAATATATACAAAATTATGAATGGGATAAAAGTTCCAGAAACAGATGCACACATATATAGTCAATTATTTTTCAACAAAGTTGCAGGAACATTTCAACAAACAGTGTGGGAACAATTGGATATTCATAGACAAAAATCCCTACCACCACCACCACAAACAGAAACTAATTTAATCTTTATCTTATAACATACACAAAAATTTACTCAAAACTCAGTCCCAAATCTAAGAAAATGTAAGTCTTTGCAACTTTAGGTTAGGCAAATATTCTTAGACATGACACTAAAAGGACTATTCACGGGGCGCCTGGGTGGCTCAGTCAGTTAAGCATGTGACTCGATTTTGGCTCAGGTCATGATCTCAGGGTCATGAGATGAAGCCCCATGTTGGGCTGTCATGGGCATGGAGCCTGCTTAAGATTCTCTCTCCCTCTCTCTCTGCCCCTCCCCTCCCCTGCTCTCACATGTCTGTGCATAGTCTTAAATAAATACATACATAAATAAATCTTAAAAAAATAAAAAGATAGGGGTGTCTGGGTTGCTCAGTTGTTAAGCATCTGCCTTTGGCTCAGATCATGATCCCAGTGTCCTGGGATTGAGCCCGCATCAGGCTCCCTGCTCAGCAGGAAGCCTGCTTCTCCATCTCCCATTCCCCCTGCTTGCATTCCCTCTGTTGCTGTCTCTCTCTCTCTTTCTCTCTCTCTGTGTCAACTAAATAAATAAAATCTTTAAAATAAAATAAAATAAAATAAAAAGATAAACATTATTCATAAAATAAAAAATTGATAAACTGGAGTTCATTGGAATTAAAAATTCCTACACTTTGAAAGACACCTTAGAGAGAATGGAAAGACAAGTCACATACTACTGGAAAATATTATCAAATCATGTATATAAAGGACTTGTATCCAGAATATACAAAAGTTATCTACAAAATAGACATAAATAACTAGCCCAATAAAAAAGATGAGCAAAAGATTTGGACCATATTTTACTTAAGAAATATGTATGGATGGCAAATAAGCACATGAGATACTCAACATCTTTAGTCATTAGGGAAATGAAAATGCAAACTATAATATCAAATATGAAAAAGACTGATCATACCGAGTTCATGAGGATATGGAACAACTGGAATTTTTATACAATGCTGGTGGGTATTTAAAATAACAACCAGTTGAGAAAACAATTTCTAAGTTTCTTAAAAAGTTAAATATATACCTGCCGGATAGCCCAGTCATTCCATTCCTATATATCCAAAAGAAATGAAAGCATATGTCCACACACAGACCTGTACACAGAGTCAAAGCAGCTTTATTTGTAATACCTAAAAAATGGAAACAACCCAAATGTCTATCAGCAAATGGATGGATAAACAGTGAACAAATTGGTGTATATCCATACAATGAAATATTACTCAGTAATAAAAAGTAATGAACTACTGATAGACACTATAACATGGGTGAATCCCAAATTAATTATGCTGGGTAAAAGAAACCACACCCCCACACTCCCCTCAAAAAGGTACATTCTGAATAATACCATTTATATAAAACTCTAGAAAAAGTAAACTAATCTACAGTGACATATAGTATATTAGTGGTTGCCTGGGGATATGGCGGCAGGGAAGAATAGGAGGGAGAGATTATAAAGGCTTACGATGAAATTTGGGTGGTTATCTTGATTGTGGTAATGGTTCCACAGGCATATATGAGTATCAAAACTTATAAATTTTATACTTTAAATACATGCAGTTTATTACATGTCAATTACATATCAATAAAGCTGTTAACTTTTAAAATTGCTTAAAAGTTCAATTATCAGTTACATTAGTCACATTGCAAATTTTTAAACAGCCACATGTGACCAGTGGCTACCATTTTGCACAGCGCAAGTGAAGAACATTTCCATCACTGTTCAAAGTACTAGACTTACTGGAGAGCACTGATCTAACTCATAAAGGAAAAAAAAAAGGCGCATCTCTTTCTTTTGTTTCTCTGGTATTTACCAACTCTAAACTTCAAGAATGGGATAAACGTGCCAGCATGGCACTGATATATACATTACCCAAGAATCTTTAAAAGCAGATTTTATTAAGTTTATTTTAATGTAACTTTGCTGTGAAGCAAAATATACCCTCTACTCACAATCACGTAGCACACTATTCCCTCATTTAGATATCATAACTTCTATGCATTATTTATTTAATTAGTTTTCTCCAAAGCTTAAGTTGAAGGCAATTTTAAACTAAATGACATGGAAAAAATGGAACAATAACACTCTCTTGGAACTTACTTTCTCCTGGTAGTCCAAGTGGTTGTAGCTTCAAAATAACATCTAAATAGGGATATACATATTTTTTATATACTCACAGATATCCTACAAGTTACCCTGAAATATGTAGCATGTTTCAGAATATGCTACATAATGCAACTAAATTTTCCTTTCTAAAAGAATCAAGCATATAACTCACCACAGAGTTTCAAATGTGAGAACAGACATGAAAATATACTATGTTATGTACTGAAATGTTTCACATTCAAGGATCAGTTCATAAAATTAGTAGGACACAGTTGTTCAACTTTGTATTCTAACTAAAGCTTTTTTCTTTCCTTACTAAAGGTCTCAGTTTTGATAGAGGTGATTTTATTTAAAAAGACTCGAATTCTCTATTTGGCCCCCACCCTTGTAGCCAATGGACTTGGAAGGCAGAGTCTGTTTGCTCAGTGTTTTGTTTCAATATACAGAATGTGGGGCTGAGATCCTCCATGGTTCCTGTTCCAAAGCCTGACACCCTAACCCTTTATGCACAGTTTGATGCCTGAGACATCTCTGTCTTAGAAATGAAATAAAGAAAAAGGCAACCGGGGTTGTGGGGGGAGGGGGAGGGAGTCTGGTGGCCAGTGCAGACCACGCAAAATCACCCCCAAACAGTATATTGTAGTAGATAAGCAAGAAGTATAAAAATAGAAACCAAGTCCCTCTGTTGTTTGCAGAAGCAGAACTCACAAGCCAGTTTCACTTACTTTTTTACACCGACAGAGCCATTTTCCTTGTTTTCCATGTCAACAGATAGCATGGGAAGGCTGCAGGGTTCCTTTACTTCAGCAACTAATCAATAAGGGAGAAAAGCTTGTGTTTAATTCTTAGAAAGTGAGAGAAGAATATATATTCTGAATCGGAAACATAGTGGTCCCTTTTACAGCTCCACACCAGTTCACGTATGTTTGTTTAAACCTCCAGTTCCCTCAGCGATAGGAGAGATGTGATTAAACCTAAAGAACTGGAGGAGGCGGATTGGGGTGCTTTCATCTGTACTGGCACTCCCTGCCTTGACAATAAGCATTTACAAATGAAATTGAATCCTCCTTCAAAACAAGTGCTGTGTGAACTGGCACAGCTTCCCCTGGGTGCCAAGCTCTCACTTAAGACATTGCAACTCATAAATGAGTCAAAGTCAAGAAAAACAATCACCCTTTTCCTGCCCCTTCAGACCACGGGCTAGGATTTTTTTATTTTCTTTTTTTTTAATTGTATTTTTTTTTGTTTGTTCACTCACAAACCTTCTATTTTTTCATTGCAATGCAAAAGAGCACTTAAAGCTTTTGTCAGCAAGTATTCCCCTACCTCACATATGCTCAACGAAAGCCTCAAAACCTGTCTGTGAGATGGCCACGCTGTGGTAAAGCTGGAAGCTCACAAAAATGTCAGATATCCCTTAGCACAGAAGGTTGGTGCTGGGGTGTGTGTGTGTGTGTGTGTGTGTGTGTATAAGAGAGGGGAGGCAGCTCATTAGATTTACGTAAAAATCACCAAAACGTCCAAGGAGATACAGTAGCATCTATCACTTTGTCTTTTTGTTTAGTAGGATGAGGACTGTGAAAAAATAAAAAACCCTCCACAATTAATATGCAATTAGCAAGATGAAAAAGCTATGAACAAAACTGCTTTAAAAAACTAGTTCTGAAACGTGCTTGTTTTACAGCTGAAGCCATAAATTAAATACATTTCCTCTCAAATTACTTTATACTTCGGCACTCCTTCTCTAGGGATTACTCTGACATGACAAGTGCATCATTTAGTATATTCACAAGATTTTATCACTGTTCGAGAAGTAGATGATTAACAAATAATACTATTAAGTGTGGGATAATCTTCACTTCTGATACACACACATACACACACACACACGTGCACGCGCACACACACACACAACTTCCAGTTGCTAAACCACTTAGATCATTCATAGAGAAATCCAACATTTAATAGACATATAGATATTAACATACATTCACACACCGTTACAGAGTAGACAGAAGATAGTGCTGCTGCTCCATGCCAAAAGAATGATTTCACTTCAGTTGGAAACTGTTACACATTCACCATTTTCTAAGCATCTCAGAAAAAAACAAAACAAAACAAAACACTAACAATGATACTCTGTAACACCATACTACATTGTCTTATTATTATTATTATTACTATTATTATTTTCTTTTTGTGGAAGAGTAAAAAGAAAACCTACCTAGAAGCAACTAAAACATGTCATTTTTTATAGGCTTATCAAGAGCAGCCAAAGAAACCCCAATGTTTTCTTTCACAAAGTAGGCTGGCAAAGGAATTCAATAAGGAGGTACAATTTGACACAGTGAAATAAAACCAGGCTGGCTCTCAGCCAACATGACGTTAGGAATCACACACAAGCTGCACCAACTGCCTTCTGGTTCATGGCTGACTTTTTAAAGCTACAGTGTGCCTGTTCACTTTTGCTAACTACCTTCAGCACAATTAGTGGAAGTGAATGAATCAGGAGTCCAAGAACTGCAGAATTCTCCCTGCACCTGTCTTGTAAAGAAAAACCTGCAGTATCGATAGCCTCTTATTTACTCTCTCCCCCCATCCCCTTCATGGTTGCTGCATGATAGATCCTTGCTGTTGTTCTGAGCAGGAATGTCATGTTTTGAAAACTATTTTTCTCCCCCATGGGAGAAAAAAACAAGAGAAAATAAGAGAAAGAACCTAGCACTACTGGCTACAATCAGTAAATACTCAGGAGCTGCAGACCTGTGTTACACTTTCTTCCTAACAGAGACTCATGGACAAAGTTCCCAGGGCTGGCTTTTAAACAATCTCTTTAAGAATAAGGAAAGCACTGCCCAGCAGAAAATCCTTTTCTTCATTATGCAGGAAGTAACATATTTCAGAGGATGCAAAGTGGATGACCAGATCTTTTGAGAACACCTACATTCTTTTATTTTGGCATTCAACCTACCATATGAAGTCAGCCAAAATGAAAAATGAAACAAATCTCATTCTACAAAAACAATTAGTTCTGGGAGGTTTAATCTTAACTGTTTATTCCAGTTGCATACAAAGAGTAATTCAACAAATCTAACTAACACTATCCATGAGCACCGGGTCCTATATTAGTTACATATGAAAAAGAAGATACTATGCCAACCTCCAAATTCATAGTATCTCCGCCCATTCAGGAAATGGGAAGGTGGCATAGGGAGACTAGGCATGATCTTTTAATTTACCCTGGTCAATCTCACAGTTCCCTTGCTTGGCTGGAAACGGCTGAATGGAAACATTCCCATTCCACAAATATGCCATAGATACACAGAAAGCATACATAGCTTTCATCAAAATAAACAATCAATATTTGGACACTTTTAAATCAAGATGTCAACTAAACTACTTAAGATAGGGCAGAAAGAATACAGGTTCCCAAGAAGGATTGTAGAGAAAAAAAAATCATCTGCTGCTATATGACTGCGTAGAATTCAGGAAGAACTGAGGAGAAAGTAACAGGTCTCCCTTTTCTTTAATAATTTTTTAAGGGCCCTAGAAGAAGATCAGAAGTTATAATCTAAATTTGCAACCTGAATTTCAAAGTCAAATTTCTTTTCCCCTCATTTATTCCAAGAAGGACATTAGAAATGTTTAACTTCATGAAAGATCATCACTGAGAAAGATTTCAAATGCTCTCTCTGCCCATCTTCACCATCCCTCCTTTGAAAAAGCAAATGATAATTTAGGGACAAATTCTAAAAACAACAATAATAATAACAACAATAATTTAGGGACAAATTCTAAGTGTTCATTTATTTTTGAGGACCATTTTTTTGAGTCTGGTCAAACAGGGGAGTCTTATCACCACTGATCAAAATGATGAACTCTTCTCTAGATAGAGAGCCCTTTCACCAAGAGATTTCATAATGCTTTGGGAGTTGATCTGAAATTCCTGAAATGTGCTCCAACTAAATTCAGATGGGCTGGGGTGTGAGTCCTGGGGGGAAGGATGGATGGGAAACGTGTCTCAACAGCACTGTCACGCCAATGGCTCAGAACAAAATCAGGTCAGCTCTGAATCTTGAAAGGAGAGGCAAAGAAAATCTAGTTACACGTAACTTTTCCTTAAACACCCCTACAGGAGGAAGGTTTCTGTGAAGTTTCTCCAAGATTTTCTTCCTACACATAGAGGACATCTCCTTCTCTCTCCTCTGCTGTGATTAAGTTTGCCTGTTAGATAAGGGTAAAGGTTTCAGAAGGTGATGTAGGAAATCAATCCCATTTTATGGTGAAAAAAAGAGCCAAGAAAGCATTCTAAATTCTAACAAGGACAGGTTTCACCCATCAGCTAGTTTCCAACTTTGGAATAAATCGACATTTGTGGGTATAAGTATATATACTGGTACTCACCCACTTCCTCCTTACTCTCTCCAACAAACTGATTTAACTCTCTTCTCCATTAATAAAAATGATGCGTATGTATATTGTATATGGTACGTGTATACAGCCTGTAGGATAAACAAAATGTGTGTATGTAATGTATGTTTATGTGATGTGTATGCTGTGTAATACGTATGGTATGTGTTTGTGGCGTGTGTAGAGTGTAGAGTGCATGGTGCGTTTTTATGGGTGCGGGTGTGTCGTGTGTTAAGTGCAGGGTGAGAGAGACAAACAAGATCTTCTGATCCATTATTCTGATATTATGGGATGCGCTAGAGTAACTTGGGAGATCCTCGTGTTGGGATTCTGAAGCAGAACTTTCGGGCACACTTGAGAATGGGCTGAGGAGGGGAGATGAGTCAGCAAGGGCGGGAAGCTGGTGCCTCTGATAGAGCTTCTTTTATTGTTCAGGACTCATTCCCCCATCCCAGCCCCCACCCCGGGAACCGGCGGTGTCCCAAAGGACCCACTCGCCCTGCCTCCCGTCAGGTAACCGGCCCGCAGGAGTGTCCAGCCCACATCGCAGAGTGCAGACCTGGGTCCACGTGGCTGCCGAAGAAACCTCGAGAAGTCGCCGGAGGGCAGGGCCGTGCTCACCGCGTCCCTAAGGGCGTCTCAGGGGAGAGGGAGGAGCGGCCTGGAGAGCGAGCGGTGGGGCAAGACTGAAGGCAGGAGAGGGGACGCCTGGAAGCCTCTTGGATGAGCGGCGCCGTCCGATAGACAAACGACTCGCTGGTGGCACCGGCGACAAGAGGGGAAAGTTTCTAAGACTTTCAAGAAGAAACCGTTCGTCTTTGAGTTTGGGGGCTCCCCGGGGAGCCCGTCTGTGGAAAGGGAGTGTGGGGGTGTGGCGCTCGCTGGGCGCCCAGCCGCGCCGTGCCACCACCCAGTCCCATCCTGCGAGCTCTGCCCCGCAGCCCGGCGAGCCGCAGCTCTCGGCGGAGCCCGGCACGCTTCTAACCCCAGTTCCACTCCAGAGTGACACATTCCACGCTCGTGGGTGCAACAAGCTGCGGGAGCACCGGACACACAGCAGTGACGAGGGAGGGCAGGGCGGTTTTTATTGTGGTTTTCTTCGTTTCCTTTAATCCTGGAGAGGGTAGAGAGTGGCCGCGTTCCCAGTGCCCTCGCAGCACGAGCGTATCACTTACCTCCCCGCATGGCCGGCGCCGGGAGGCTTTCCCCAGCGCAGAACTCGGCGGCCGCCACGCGCCCAACCCGGGTGCAGCCGGCCGGGCGCGCGCGCGGCACGCCGGGACTTGTAGTCCTCCGCGGGCGGGCGGGGCAGGGGTCCGAGGGCTGGGGCCACCAGGAAGCGGAGAGGTCGGGAAGGGAGGGCGCAGGGCGGGGGCCGTTTGAAAGTCGGGGACGGCATTTGCAACAACTTAAAACCTCCAGGGAGCTGGGGGAAGGGAACATTCTTAGAGAGAGTTTTAAATTGGGGGTGTTCAGGCCAATACCATTATCGCCCGGTCTTATTGGCTCACGACCTTTTGAACTTAAGCTGGGTTTGGGCGGTGATGACAAGTAGACATTTCCCGAGCCAAATTCATATTATTTGGGGCCTTACTCTTCCTTCACTCCGAGCACAAACGTGGGGTGCTCTACTTGGAACACCTTTGCTTTCGTTCACAGAGTAACTCAGCTGAACCCCAGGGCATGTGAAGGTAGGGTGACTATATCGCACTTTACATTTGTAGAGCACTCCACAGTTCACAGAGCACCCTTCATTCGGTTCCTTTTGTTGAAACGATAGAACAACACTGAGTTAGGCAGGGAAAAAAGTAAGGTGCAGGAAGTTTTTTGTATCCGCTTTATTCATTTCCTTTTCTAACCTTGCTCTCAGCAGCTGGGAGAGAAGGAGGGCTTTGGGCAGATGTGGTGGGCGCCGTAAAAGAAGAGCCTGCCCTGAAGGACTCTCTTGAAATAGCTGATGGGTGAATCCTTAGTAAGGAAATAAGTAAAATCAAGGAACCTATGGGTTGGAAGAATGGACCGGGAAGCATAGAGACAGAATGGAAGATTGTGATCAGGCTAGAGGCAATATGGAAAAGTGGTAGATGGATAATGGAGGGAGGAGGAGGAAAGAAATGGCGTGGTGGGGGGAGGGGTGGGGGGGTGGGGAGAGTGGTGGATGGGGGTGGATGGGGGCAGGGTGTAAAGACTGACTAGAAGGTTGTGATGAGACTAGAGAAAATATGAAAATGTTGTATCAGGGAAAAAAAAAAAAGCAAAAAACAACGGGGATTTTAGAAGCCAGATAGAGCTGGGATCCTGGTGTCACTTTGGAGCTAGCTTTATGAACTTAGGTAAGTTATTTGACTTCCCCATACCTCTTTTCCTCATCTTTAAAATTTCAATAATAATAACTCCTACTTTATTATGTGGTCATACAGATTAAAAGAGATGGGAAGCATTTAGTATAGTGGCTGCCATATAATGAGCACTGGATCACCACTATACTAAATATAAATAACATGTTATTTATAAATACTAATAAATACTGTCATTACCTCCTTTTGTGGAAATATCAAAAGATAAATGGGAGTAGAAGTTCCAGTTGGGAGGCTGTGACAGTATTCTAAGTCACAGGTAATACGAGCTTAAACTACAGTAATAGAAAGGGAGCAGATATGAGACATTTCTAAGGCAAAATGAACAGGGAGCAGGGCGATCAACTGAATGTGGGCTCGAGGACTAGGGTCCAAAGATAAATGTCACTTCGAGAGTGACTAAGTGAATGATAGGTACAATGGATGGAATAACAGGTTTTAGAGGAAGATGACTAGTTTAATTTTGGACATGTATAATTGAGGCTTTCTGTGTATGAATGACAGAATGTCAGTTGGAAGTGTGGACTTGGGTTTTCTGTGTAGAAACAAAACTTTGAGAATTAATTCCTTACGAGAGTGAGTTGAAGACCTCGTGGAGTGGGAAAAGGAAGGGCAGGGGCATCTGGGTGGCTCAGTTGTTTAGACATCCTGCTCTTGATTTCTGCTCAAGTCATGATCTCCAGGTTGTGAGATGAGCCCTGCTTGGGACTATGCTCAGCGGGGAGTCTGCTTGAGAGTCTCTCTCCTTTTCTCTCTGTCCCTCCCCCTGCTCTCTCTC